TGATACTATAAATAGGTTGAAATACATTTCCGTATTTAGTATATGTGGTTCATAAATGCAATTATTACTCTTGAGGAACATTTGAATGCTGGCTGACGATTATGTCATAATGCAAGATAATCACGTAAAAGAACACACATTTTTGTTAGGTATTGTTGGACCTGTTCATTATTTATTTCATTTTTGTTAAAACTGTAAATCTTGTCTTATGCAAGCAACATTATTGCTTTTTATTGAATCACCAGGTTTTAGTTTTTGTGTCGTTCTACAAAATTAATAAAGATACTAACAAAACACTGCATTACTTTAAAAAACGAAAAAGAAAGAAGATATTAGCATAAACTGAGTATAATCTAATTCAAACGTTCGATTCGATTTGTTACGAAAATCGATAGATTAGCAATTATTCTGGAATTTGAACAATTACAAATATATCCGTTCTCATGCACCAGGATTTTAGTAATTAACTAGTAAACGTTTGCTGTTCCAAATAAGAAAATATGCATAAGTAGATTTAAGTAATTATTATAACAACGATTTCACTTATTCACTTCTAGTTTAACTTTTCCTCGGCCCCACTACCAAAGAAGGAATTATTAACAAGGCCTTTAGGAAATTAACTCACTGTGAGTTCACACATGGAGCAAAATCAAATATTAATAAAATAATTCAAAGAAATTATTATGATGATGGTGTTTAAAAAAATCTGTTGGTGAAATGAAGTGGACACACTCTTAATGTATGAATAAAAGTATATTGATAAATGATGAAGAACAACACAGTACAAAAGTAGATTTCCGAACACGAGAACGATTCTGTATCAGCAGCAATTTGACGACGACTAACTAAAAAGGTCGCTCTCGCGATGAACAAAAATTATGCTGCCTAAGCAATATGGCTTTGTGGTACACTGTAGTCCATATTATATATGGCTGAACTTATATTGATAATATTAAAAGCATTTTGATTATAGTCTTATTCTAACAAAATCAATCTTGTATCTTATACGCAAAAGAAATATATAGAGATTATTTCATACAACCGTTCCAGAACATAATAGTAGTAGTAAACAGAATGTAATAGTTACATGTAATAATAGGTTATCAGAAAATTTAATTTAAATAATGCCAAATTAGGTCAATAATTTCAGTTCAGCACACAAATCTAACAAATTTGAACTTAGTGATGACGACTTTATATTTTAGCATAATATTAGATAAGATTAGAGTGATTATTCGATACAATTAGTAATTTAGAATTGAAATAAAGGTTTGACTCGATGCACAATATTTTACAATTAAACTACAAAGAAAATGAAAGTCATTTCACCTCATAAAACACAAAGCACTAAAAAGTGTTATAAATATTTATTTACTTTAAATTGAATGGACATTACTACTATTATTTCAGTCCAGTTTTTTTCACATAATACTCAAGTTACACACAGCATCTAGAGGGAGTTATGACCATTGAATATTAAGTTTGTTGAAATTTTATTCAAACGAAATGATTTAAACTTGCTATTTGGAATTGCATATAAGAAGGATGGGGACATATTTGCTATTTAATAAATCACTAACACATTCTAAAACAGTTGACATAAAAAAACAACTAATATGGTATGGACATATACAAATAATGCAAGAACACCCAATCCCGAAGCAACGTGATGAACTGGCCACCAAGAAGACGACTCGGAAGACCGAGAAATAGCTGGAGAGAAGGTATCGACAGGGAACTTAGAGACCATAGAGAAAGTAAAATAAGGAAACTAAGAAAATTATAACTAAGGAAGGATTAAACTAAGGAAAAAATAAGGGAACTTATTTTACTTTCTCTATGTTAGAGACCGAGAGCTTGAAGACGATCTATGGAACGACCGAGACAGATGGACAATGGAAATCGGAAGACGTCGTAGAACGTTATAAACCGATATACATAGATAGACAAAACTCATTACACATCATCATTACACAAAACGTGCACAAGTTTTTCTTCTCAAGTAAACTGGTTATAATTCAAATAATTAAATGCATACCATATTATTACTTTCTGTGATTGACTGACGAAAAACTATCTGTTTCATATAGATTGTTGAAAAAGTGGAAAGGAATGATGAATTAATGGAATATATAAAGTCGACTATTTTAAAATATGTATATGTAATTATGTATGTATAAAAGTGATGAGAAAACACTTCCTGCTATCCGTCCTAACATCCTGGATATATTTATAATATTACAAACTTTAAGAAGGAAGAGATGGTGATTCTAGACGATAATAAATAGCAGCAGATTAAAAGCAAAATAATTTACGTGCATTTTTAGGACAATTTCGAACATCATGTCGACTTTTTAAATCAATTTCCCTCGTGTTAAAAAAAGATTAGTTCTTAAATGCGCTCAGAGAAATTGGAGAAATCTGCGAGTAATAAAGTGGATTAGCAATTCAAAATTATCCACTATTCAGAAATTTTGCAATAGACGAAGCTTCTAGATAAAACCATAAACGCTTTCTATGAAAACGCCTAAATTTACTTGTAGACGTTTCACTTTTTTCAAAATATACGAAAATCAGAGAATAACATCCAACTTTGCGGTCATAAACGTATTCAGAAAATGTAGCAAGTTTAAAACAACACTTTACGAGCAAACGCAAAACAGGTCGAATACTTCAAACTGTAAAAACGTGAGTTTAAAGATATAAAGACGCAGTTTATGACTTTAAATAAACGAAACTTTTGCTTATGGTTTTATGTCTCACACAACTACTTATATTCTGTCAGTTAATTCCAATGCGCAAAATAAACAAATATGATCAAGCTATTGTTTGTAAAATTAATGAGTAATTCCCAAAAATTCTTAATTTACTTTGGCAAATATACAGGGTGATTAAAAATTATCGTCATTCCTTTTAAGGGATGACTATAGTCATTTGCCAGAATACACATTACAAATAAAACAATACTTCACTTCCTTAAACTTTGGCAACATCTTTATTTGGAAAACAATACGTTTTTAATGAAAAAGCACAGGGGGAAACATGCATTCAGCACTGATTTTTTGATCTTGTTGAAGAGGCTTATACTACCTACATATAGGGTGGTTTTGTAGTGCGATAGAGTCCATTATTTCCATTGATGTTGAACTTTCGAAAAACAGTTTCATATAAAAGTTGTTGATATGATACAGAGTGTCTCAGAAAAGCGAGGCAAGATCAAAGTGTATTTTTTTTACTACTCATTTTTCATTACCTCCTGGAATGCAACTTCAAACGCTGCATATGCACCGTAAATTGTTTTTTTCTTACTCGCGACGTTGTCAGATTATCGCCATTTTAGTAAAATTTTTCTTAAAAACATGGTATCTAAAAATTCATTGTAGAAGCAAAAAAAGCAGTTAAAGATACAAGAAAATACGTCTTTCCAATCACCACAGATCCGTTAGGAATTCTATCGAACCAAAATATCAATACATTGTACAGGGTGTTAATAATGTGGACTTCAATCTAAAACTTTTTAACGCAATATAACAAATTTACAAAGTTACAAATTTGCATTTACACTTTAAGCTGTAATATATTATACAATATAATACAATACTTTGGGTGGTTATACGATCTGGGGCAAGAAATACGAATTAGTGAAATACGGGGTTGTTTTACGAAACTCACTTCTTTATAATAGAATTATTAAAAACGACAGAATTTTCCAATACTTCGAAGTGTGAATTTTTTAATAATTGCAGTTTTAACTCTACTTGAAGTCAAGCTCAGTTTTACAAAATTGAACAGTATTCAACAGATTTATATTTACGGAACTAGAAATGCTTTTTAAAATTAATCCGCGATATTTCATAAACATATTTACAAATACACTATTCTATACAGGGTGTCCCAGAATTATAGAGCATTAGTAAAATTTATCAAAACTCCATGTACATGTAGATTCTTACTTCTCCTACACTGGTCTGTACCAGTCAAAGAAGACGCCTAAAATAATTGGTATAATGAAATTATTTTTCAAGATTAACGACATACAAGATGTAGATTCTTACTTCTCCTACACTGGTCTGTACCAGTCAAAGAAGACGCCTAAAATAATTGGTATAATGAAATTATTTTTCAAGATTAACGACATACAAGGTTGGATGAATGGACTGATTAAAACATCTTTGCATTATCTACCTTGTCAGGGACACAAGTATTTTAGCACAATAAAACCCTTTTTGCACAGTATGGTAAAAGTACCTACAAAACTAATGTTGATCATTTTTGGCTTATCAGTCCTTTGCGTTCGACGTTAATAATATTATCACCTTATAGTTAATTCTTTTACGAACAACGTTGATTAGTTGTATTTCTTGTGGAAATTAGATTTTCGACCACTTTAAACTCATTGAAATTCTTTACATTTAACAGAAAACAAAAAATTTGTCACACCGACGTTACAGAGAGCCAGAAACATGTCTTGCATTTGCCAAATTTATATTTTGTTTGTCAGTACCTACTTTGTATGAGTATTGAAATAAAACTATTCCCATTATTCCCTAGTTAAAATTATCACTAAAAATTAGCCAAACAATACTGAGATAAAGCCAGTACAAATATAATAGGAGGAACTCGTGGTTCATCTTTTAGTGAGCACTAGGAACCTAAAACCATTTCGAATTGGTTTTACTGTGAAAAGCGACAAGAGTTCTAAACTCCTATTTATTTATATCTATAGTTAAGAATAGATAATTATTTTGTTGCTAATCAGCCGCATTATAAAAAAACTGTCATCCATAATCGCCCTCTTTCGAGAATTGAAACATGTTATGTTGTGAAATGATTACTAACACCTGTTAAGCCTATCATTACTCAGGCTCTATTTATTTTGATAAGATACCGAATGGGCGATAAATGTATTATTTAGAAGCCCAACATACCTGGAAGCTTTTGGGATAAGGCGCTAATCTAGTTCGGTATTATTTTCTCAAATTCAATTGTCTTTGACTTACCCTTCTGTAGGAAAATAGCTCCTTCTGCAATTTGTGCCTCTCGGCTGACTGATGAGGTTTTCCTTTAATAAACTTGAACATTGTGGCGTTTCTAAAACAAAAGCTGCAGATAAAGACTATATGATCGCTGAGGAATAAAACATAAGTACAAAAAAGAAAAGTAGAATAAAAATATTTACGAAAAGTTAACCAAAACAATTGCACTTGTCAAAAGCCCCCCCTTGTTTTGGTTAGTTTGGGCAACGCCTGCTCAAAATAGGTTCGTCAAACTGAATCTGTTCTAATATGGTTCGATTAATTCGAATTTACCTTTCAGAATTTCGTCCAATAATTGCTACCACAAGGGCTTGGGCTTCATATAATCACAAAACACCGAACTCGTGTTGAGAAAGCGTTCTCTACTCTACGAAATACACATAACACGAACAACTTCAACAAACGCTAATTGGTCACTGACCGGCTGAACAAAACGAAAAGTAGGCGGATGGAAGATTGAACGTACTTGTCACCGGTTGAGTAGGAAAGGGAACACTCGCAAAGCCACTGATTTATTATCGCATAGACGTTCTTGTACGCGACTGAGACAAAAAATGAGCGCGCTACTAGATCTACGGTATAAAGAACGCATACACTCCGTTTCAAAAAACCCGCTAAATTTGAACAGGCAAAAATAACTCATTTATTCTCCCCTAAGTTAAAGACAGTGACTGCATTTTTACAAATGATATGGTGTATTTAAACATGTCTCTATAAGGGGCAGAAAAGTGGAAACGTAGAGATTATAATTTGAAGAAATATCCAAACTCAGTTCAGTGGATGATTTTGCAGATGCAGAGCGTAAAATGTATCTTTAGTTTGTCATGAAACTCACCGGCAGCCAATTTTTCCGAGAAGTTTTCCAATGTATTTTTACTTTTTGATGTTGTTTTTGCAGGCTTAAGATTGGAATTTGTTTTTTCGATATCTAGAAAAGTTGGAGTCACTTTTGTAAAAATTTCGCAAGGCAAAGTGTGTTTCATACGTGGATAACATTTGGATTTTGACTCATTCTCACGGGAATTATACACAAATTTGTTGATATTTTTCGCTTGTTTCTGCAGGGCCTAGGAGAAAATATTCTATAATTAACACTATTAACAGTAAAATATAAAGTAGCTCAAAAAGTTATTTCTCTGAAAATGTGCGCGAATACCGCGATTACTCTTTTCTAGTTTTTATATTTGAAAAAAGTGGCTTAAAATGTTTTACTCAAATAAATATTAGTCCAAAATTGTGACGATTAGCTAGTTTTTCACAAACATTTTCATTATTTTGCAACATTTATTGTTTTGAAAAACTGATACAATTTTTTCAAAGCCTAGTATTATTAAGCATTTATTCCTTATATTTTAATTATTTATTATACAGTTTTTAAATGATTTACAAACAGCATTGTCAAGTTTGACTAGAAATAGCGCTAACGCTGAGCGAATGAAGAAGTTATCTCGATTCAGATTTAACCTAAGTTCGTGGCTGTTTTCATTTTTTTGCGTCAAATGATACTTTCGTTTTTCTTTGAGATCATTTATTTGTTTATATATAAATTTTACCTCTAGAAAATTCTGTTCCGTTATTCGTGTTATGAAAATGAGCAAACACATGTATTCGACCGTAAATCTTTCAGATAGAGAATTGAAAGAACAAGGCAATCGCCTGTATAATCTTAGGAAATATGATGATGCTATCAATCTATACAGTAAGGCGATAGTGAGTATTTTTGAAATCTGACAATTACACTTTTTTGCCACTATATTCTGCTTCACATTTTTAGATTAAGAATCCAGATGTGGCTCACTACTTTACGAACAGAGCCCTATGTTACTTGAAGCTCCTAAAATGGGAAAATGCTTGCACGGATTGCCGCAGGGCTTTAGACATGGACCCCAATTTAGTTAAGGGCCACTTTTTCTTAGGGCAAGCTTTATTTGAAGTCGGATCATTGGATGAATCAATCAAGCATCTACAAAGAGGTAATACATATATAAATAAATAATAAATTGAGCGGGCTAATATAAAAATCACGCTTTATTATTTATAACCACTTTAACTGGTTTGTGTCTCCGCATCAACTATGGGAATTGGTATCAGTTTGTTCAACATATTTTACCACTGTAAGGCCCATTTTAGGAAGTTTTTCTCGTCAAGTTTTTATTTCATTGTCCGAAATCAACTAGTTTTTCACAACTAGTCACTGGTCACACAACCAATGGTGTTTTTAAATTTCAAGACGTATAGATTTCCATCTTTTTTCAAACTTTTTTAGCCAAAGTTCTAATTTTTAATTATATGGAGATAATTTGAGGAATTTTTGAATGCCAGCAATGGTGCAATTTTAAATCTTTTTCAACATTTAAATATAAACAAAACTTGCAGATGTACATACACTTTTATGTCACGTCTGGAGCATACCTTAAAAGTTAAAACTTAAGACTTAAAAGTGACTAATTTACACTGCTGGTCGCACCTCTTGTAGTGCAACGTCCCCCTGCGTTAAGCATTTATGCCAAAACTTTGTTGATAAAATAATATACGCAACTGAATCTAGCAAATGTCAGATATTTCCAACGCTATCTTATAAATTATAAAAATATTTAAGAGTTTGAACACGTTCCGTTTAATTCTTCAACTTTTTTAGCGTTTTTTCTTTTTGGCAATTCTTAATTAAAGCCCGGCTCCCCAAACGCTGTATAAGAAAATTCAACTGGATTAATCAGAAATTTTCTAAAGTAATTTCTAAACCACTAATGATAATGGCTAATTAATATTCCGATATTTTCAATCGTTTTCGAGAGGGTTCAGTAGTTAGGAATATTGTTTCACGCCTGATGAGAAAAAAACAGTTAAAAGTTCTTCTAATAGTTCGTTTAGCCTATTTTCCACACACCCCATGTCCTTAAAATTTCACATTTTCCATTCCAACTTTGCAACGATAGAATATTTCTGAAAAAAAAGCCTGAAGCCTAGCTATTTACGTTGATACTCTCTAACGGGTTTTGATAATTATTCGGAATTTATTTTAATCAATTCACATAAATTTGCAATTATATTTTTGCGCTATAAGGTTTTTGCTTCATTCTATGAAGAACATAATATTTTTTCAAACGTTTCCAATGCATAAGGGGTTTCAAACGTTTTTTTTTCTTATTTTGTCTTCTAAATCTTTACACATTAGGAGTTTTTGATCAAACTTAATTAGTGAAAGACGGAAGGAATATTACCACTGATTGCATATTTCCAACCTTTTCTGAAATATAGGCTATTTTAAACTTTGAAGTCCCTTTAAATGTTCACATTTTGCTCCCAATCTCTTTTTTTAATTATTAGGATTAATCCTGGACCCAGTAGAATAGTTTCTGTTTCATCGTAACGACCCAAAAATCCGAATTCACTTCAATAATAAGTTAATGACATTTTATAATTCTGTAAATTTATAAACTAAATATTTCAGAAAGAAGAAATTAGAAGTTACGATACGTCGATACAACATACAACAGATTAAAATCCTGGATTCGCCACTGAAAGGCACTGATTATCTTTGTTAATTTTGCTTTATTTAACAATATTTGCAAAAACATACTATTTTTCTATATGATCTCCCGCGTTAGAAGGACAAATTTCCCAGCTATTCTGATCTTTTAAATCCCATCATCGCTGAAACGTTTTAATCGTTCATGCAACCACGGGAGCATCAAATGGTCCACCGCTTGATCATCAAGCATCAAAATGCTGGCCTGTAAACGCTTCTTTCAAGTGCCCCAAAAAAAGTTGAAAATCAAAATATGAAGCCTGGACTGTAGGCAGGATGTTCCAAAGTTTCCCAGTGAAATTTGTCAAATTTCTCTTTTGTAATGTTTGCTGGATGAGGCCTGGCGTTGTCGTGAAGAAGAACTACTGACAACTACTAATTGACCTAATTGCATGTTTCTTTCCTTCGGTAGAATTTTGCGGAATTCAGAAGCTCGCATAACTCAGGAAATGCTCTCTGAATGCATGCTAATCTGAATAGAACCAATAAAATTATGTTATTATGTTAACAGCAAAATTCTGATTGCTATATGAACTGAGAAAACAGCTCGGAAATGTTTCAATTCTGTGTAACCTTTTAGAATAAATAAACAACACATACATAGATGTATACTCTATGAAAGAGACTACACGAGTCAAACTTTTGATTTCAGCCTTAGACTTAGCTAAAGAACAAAAACTCAATTTTGGTGACGATATCGCTGCCCAATTAAGAGCGGCACGAAAAAAGCGATTCTCTATCCAAGAAGAGAAAAGAATATGCCAGGAAATTGAATTACAAGCATATCTGAATAGGTTAATAAATGAAGACAAGGAGCGCCAAATTAACAGTTTAAAAAACGAGGCAGTTGATAGTGATAGTAAAACCGGCAAGGTTTTGGAAATCGAAGAGCAATGTGTATGTAAAACATATTTCAAAAATTACCAGTCCCAGTAAAATTTAATTAAATCTTTTTTAGGATTCCTACGTGACTGAACTAAACTCGCTATTTCAAAAAGTTGATGAAAGACGCAGGGTGAGCCTTTATTACACTGCTTTCAAAAGATTAACTGTATTTTATTATATATATTCGAATTAATTTAACATGCTATGCATTTTTCAGAAAAGGGAGGTTCCTGATTACCTTTGTGGAAAAATTAGCTTTGAAATTTTGCAAGAACCTGTAATAACTCCCAGTGGTATTACGTACGATAAAAAGGACTTGGAAGAACATCTTCAGGTAGGTGAATTTGCTGTAGTTGCCTGTAAAGGTTGGGAACGTTTAATGCAATTACCTGATATTTTTCAGCGTGTAGGTCATTTCGATCCAGTAACAAGGGTTAAATTGACGACTGATCAATTGATTCCAAATTTTTCAATGAAGGAAGTAGTAGACGCATTTTTAGCCGAAAATGAATGGGCGCTGGATTATTAGCTAGCAAACTAATGAAGTTGCGTTATCTGATCATTAATGAAGTTTCTATATCTGGTCAGTAATGAAAGTGTCATCAGTTTTTTTTTATTTTTAAGATATGTATAAATATCTATTATTCAGCAACTGAAGAAACCGTTTTCAATGCAGACTTTCAAGTCCCTGTTATATGTTAATTTAATGTTTCAGTAAAAATCTAAATCATAAAAATTGCAATATTGAAGCATATTAGGATACATCAAAGCAATTTAGCCCTACTTTACAATTACGCTTAGTAAACTTGGCTTTTATTTGTCTAAACATTTTTTCTTTATATTATCATTAGGTGTTAATGTTTGACTGTAACATTTTTGTTATGAGTATAAGACGGTGAGAAAATAAATATATAGTTGACCGGTACATAGCAATAAGTTTATGTACAAGTTTCATCATATAAAATTATATGTTGGGAATGTTTCTGAAATATATTAGTTTTTGAAATAATCCATTACTTTTTGAATGGCTACAGCTTCCCGTTGATCGACAAGTTTTATTAGTCTTTTTCAGGAGCTATTTAAATAAAAACCAATGCAAAAGCTTTGAGTTTTTAAAGCGATTGATTGATCCATTCTATGATTAGGTTGGCGGGTATTTGAAAGCATACTTTAAATCGAGGCAAAAATAAAACATGTAAACACCGATTACAACACAACTATTTATTTAATATATTAAGTTGCAGTAACATAATAGAAATTGCAAGTTTTATGTTCTATTTTCCATTGCTGCTTTCTTGATAGTCGCAATCTATAGCGCATATTTCACTATAATTTACTCTTCTACGGACATGGTAGCCAAGATCCATTTTATAAACCTGAAGAAAAGAACTTGGGTCAGTATGATGAATACTTCACGTTATAGATACTCACGGTTATTAATTTTGCATTGCTGAATGGCCTCGTTGAATCCCTGGCACAATGTCAAATCAGACTGGGTTGAAGCGCATTGCAAGAACTGCTTAATCTCCCATGCGCAAGGTCCAGATGGTTCACCAGCCTGAGATTGACCAGCAACTGGCGCAGCTTGTGCTGCTGCTGGAGCCGCAGCTTCACTGGATCCACCACTGAACATTCCTTCAAGGCAAAGAATCAGTTACTGAGTGAACTAAATATTTAAGAATTTGATTTACCAGTAACAGCATGTCCAATGGTGTGTCCAACGGCACTTCCAATAGCAACACCTCCAGCAGTAGCAGCCATTTGCCCGAAAAGACCCGGGCCTTGAGAGGGGGCTGCTGCTGCGGGAGGCGCAGGTGCAGGAGCACGTGGGGGAGATGGTCTCCTAGCTGGTACGTTGCTTCTGCAATTCAAAAATCATTTAGCTAATTTCTGAAGCGGATAAACAATTTTTGAATTTAGGAATGTGTTTTTCAAAGTTATAAATTATAATGTTGGTAGGCGTTAACAACTAGTTGAATGCTGTTTTGTTTGTCCTTTGTCCAGATCATATCCTTGAATGATAGAAATTAATACTCCATTCCAACCATATGTAAAATTATTCGAAGATTCAAGTTTATAGGTTTAATTAGTGATTTTATATTTTATATGAAAGACATTCTATAAAATAGCTTTTTACATATTTGCACATCTTAATGAAACACTCGGTATATTATACAAGAATATAGAATGAAAGTTTTTAATGGTTCGTGCAAGAACCTCCGAAACTGCAGCAGTTTAAATTGGAAAAATTTTGTGATTTTAAAAGGTCCACTAGATGCCAATTTCTGTTTTTACATATAGGGTAGGGTGTTATTATATTAAAATAATTAAAATTATTCTAACAAGCACTTTAAAGTCCTTTTTTTAGAAATAACTTGTAAAATAATTGAGAAAGAAAACTTGTTGAAACCGTTACTAATTCACTTTAGTGGTTAAATAAATGACACAGTTGAGTCCAATTGTGTTTTTCAAAATTTGATAATCGTACCGGGATATTAAATTGTTTTTTTTTGGTTTTTCAGTTTCGCGAGCATTATTCTAACAAGAAAATAATAAATAGAACATTCGTGGGAAATGGCATTAGAAATAAAATAGGACAAAAACTTCGGATGTCTTAAATGACGATATTCTAGAGAATTAAGTAGAACTACAGATACAGTAGAACCCAATTATCCTCGTATTAAAGCGAGCAGTTTATTACTATTCCATTCTGCGAATGCTTTTAGCTTTTTCACATTATTTGATCGTAATTAACAATGAAAAATAGAATAAGGTATATTTCATAAAACTAATAGTTTGATTCAGTATTGTGGTTTTATATTAATGTTGAGGCGTGAGTCGGCAAAAAACTAATTAACTTTGGATATAGCAATACAGTACCTTTATTTTATTTAAAACGTGTTAAAACATACTAATAACAATTAACACTAAACGCTCAGAACAACATAAAGTTGAGAATAATATGAACTAAATTCCTTAGAAGACATTTCTGTTTTTGTATGAAGTTTTGCTCTGATAATTTTTATTTGCAGGGTGTTAAAATAAACAAACAATTATTTAAGCTAGGGTTGAGTAATACTTTTCAACTCTAGAAAGGACTGAAATAAAATTTTGCATTATTGAAAAAATATTGAACTTGGGAGGCACATTTTGAGCATATTTGGATGCATTGGTTTTTTGTTTTTTATTCGTCAATAGGTAAAATTGCGTCACCGATGAACTTAATTTTTAACTGATTAAAATCCAGTTAAAAACATTAAAGTTCAGCTTCTTAAAAATGTGAATCATTATGTTTGCGCATTCGAAGGTCATTATCTACACTAAAATTATGTATTTTAACACTGAACAAAATAAAATATTATTTTTTGCTCAGAAATTCACAATTTAATTTGGTCCAATCTTTATGCACCCTTTTAATGCGATAAATCACAATATTTCAACTCTAACATTGCAACGCTTTAAAATGAAATAATCGTTTAATTATTCGTATTGTCCTTACATTTGCAATGTCTGCGCTTTTGTTAATTTTTAATTTAACTTTATTATTCGGAATTCAAAAATAAATAATATAACGTCAAATATTTCATGTCAAATATACATGCAGGCAGAGGAGTCAATGTTTTAAAGAATGAGTACGTTTAAGGCTGACACGTTCTAAAAAGATAATAGGAAGAATAGGCAGAGGCATAAAACGAGACAATAGTTAACCGTTGATAGTCAAAAATATGTGAAAGCAATTAAAAACTTTCACATAAAGAATAGGTGTAAATATAAAATACATTAATCTTTATTGTTCGACATATTTTGCAATTTTTGCACTTTTTTCACTGCCAACATTTTACTGTTGTTATTTAATCTGCTGACTTAATCTTTGAATGTTCTTTCTTCTTTGAAAATTCTTTTTATAGAACGAATTTTAAACTGAATTTATTTTTCTAGATTCATGTAACAACCACCGAAATACTCGCCCTGAAGAGTTTTTATGTGTGACCATAAACCCGTTTTACACACTTCATGATCCAATGCAATATAATTTGCTATAGCTATGGGCGAGATTAGTCTTTGTCATAATCATATTGATTTTTATACCGCAATTATAATTATAATGTACATTATCTTTTTTGGCTCACAATTAGAGCAATTTTCATACAAAGGCAGTTTGCAATCCTGTTCTATTGCATTTTCCGTTAATAACAGGAAACTCTCATTACAATGCTGTTTAGGGGGGCGCCTTGCAATTTTATGCCAAACCAACAATTTCAACAGAGGCAGGTTCTACCTCTTAAAGCCACTTAACTGTGCTCACTTAAGTCCTGTGAGGACGACTTAAATGCAGATTAAATCGTGTTGTAACCAGTAAGTTCTCAAGACAGGACAAGGGAAAAATTGAAATTTTTATACCACAAAACTGCAGTTTTCGAGTGCCATTCAGGAGGAAAAATTCGACACATCGTCATGTTGTTCTTCGAGTGATTAGATCAATTAGCTGAATAAAATAGCGTGACTTTCCTTTGAAATCTGGAAGCCCTAACCTTATTTTTTCATAATCAGCAAAAACAACTACGAAATCTTTGATACTTTACCTGGTTGGGGCGGTTCTTCCACGTCTTGCCATTTTTTCTACTTGTATTTATCGCAGTTGAAAAAGAATCACTCAAAAGCACTTCTTTACGTACTGTTACGTAAAACACCAACGAAATCAATGAGATTCGCTCGATTTTTGTCAAAGCTGACGTTAGAGTTTGTGTTTCTAGAAAACTCGAATTGCCTCCCGACCTCCAAACGTAAATAAGTACGCAACTGTTTAAAGGTGAAAGAAAGAGATAATTAATGTGACGTGCGTCTAGACTTGCAATTCATGGGCAGGACCGTAATTAACAAGTACTGTTTTAATACAGTTTTAAAACGTAATAAGTAATTTGAAAGAAACGGAAGATATTCAATCGAAAATATATGCAACAATAAAGATAGTAACAGCCAAATATATTGAAGTACGTAAAGTAAAAATTAGCTGAACATTTTTAGCTGGAGAATACATTTTTGGAAATCGTATTTAATACATGTTTTAAAACGTAATAAGTAATTCGACAAAAAAACAGGATATTTGATAGACCGTGGATGGCAACTATAACGAGAGTAATAAAGAAATATATATATATAAGTTCGGGAAGTCAAAATTAGAAGACCGCAGACCGCAGTAAAATTTTAAAACCAAAAAAAAATGAGTATTTTTTATCATTGAAACTACAAGGATGTATTAAATATAAACAGGATTGAGAAATATCCAGTTAGCACTTAAGGTTATCGAAAATTTTGTCAAAAAAGGACTAAAGTATACCAAGAAATAACACTATCAAGTTTGGCAATATATATATGTAAAATTAACATTCTATCTATTTATTTTCGGCTGGCCCCGCTTCTGTATCGTGGAAAACTTGCCAAATCTTAGTCAAATTTGTTGTTTGTCAGGTGATTTTAAGAAACATACTAAACATAGTGCATCATTTAACTTCGCCTGTCCAAAGTACATTTTAGCTATTCATAATTATAATAATTAAGCATGTGCGTTTTAGAATCGTCGAATTCATTTCCAAACACTGATTTATTGTAATTTTACGACGAAATGTACCTAAAAGGAGAATTTCTAAAATAAATTATCTGTACTTTTTTGAATTTTTTAGAACTAGAGAAAATTTGGAATTTCAATTAAAAATATTGTTTAAAAAGTTTTGATTACATTTTTTTATTATCGTTCATTTTTATTCAAATTTCTTTAGTGAAATTTTAAAATTCACGTGTAAACAAAATCGAAATAGACCTTACAACTCTTGCGTTCTATTTATGCCTGAAATTACGAGCAAAATTAATCGCATAAGCAGTTAATTCAGTATTTAACATAATTCAATACTGATAAGGCGTTAAATTCCAAGAATAAATAGTTGAATAGAAAATTAAAAAACTTACTATTTTAACATATTTGTGAAAGTAACGACTTTGCAAAGGTTACACTTCAATATCATTAAATAGAATGTTAATCCCACCTTAAAAATGTACATTTATAGATAACACTTTTTTTTTAAATGGAATTACATATTTCAAAACAAATACGTAAATTAAAAGAAAGCGTTTCCGCTTTATGTATCCAAGATCTCAGCTTCATTTACTCTACAAGATTTTACAAAGAGCACGAAATTGTGAATACATGATTAGTGCATCAGCCAAAAGAAAAAATGAGTTGGTTTCACCAAGAGTTGGTTTCAAGAATTCACCACTTGTCCAAAACTGCTGAACTCGATTGTATCATCAAAATATGAGTCTTACATAAGAAAAAATTAACAGCGAGTTTTATGAAAATACATCGTACCATCCTCCCGATATTTCAAAAAAGATAAATTTTTTGAAGAACTTTGACCATCCAATAGCAGGCCATACATTTTTTGTTAGTAAAAGTCAGGTCAGATTGTCTTCTTTTGAGTCATGAGCTTACGGGACACCCTGTATATAAGGAAACGAGTTTACTAATACTTAAGCAGACCGAGCCTCCCGAAAGTTTGATGGAAAATATGGATAACGGTCTTATTATAAAAGCTACCAATTTGGCTAATTTTGACAAATATTGAGTGAATTTGCGTATTTATATAGGTGGATTGGGTTACAATGGATCTGTACCGTATAGAGTTTTTTTAAATAGAAATTTACGAAATTTCAAATTTCGAAAAAGTGGTGTCGTTAAGTGAATTTAGCGTGTTTTAACGAAAGGTGCCATTCGACCCCAGGCCTTCAAAATTTACCATTTTTATAGAATAATAGACAGGGAACGCCGCCCTTTACAAATATAATTTGCGAGTTTGAGGGTTTTAATTAAAAATACTTTATACTTTAATACTTTTTCCAGCAAAATCTATTCTTGCGTAATTTTTAGACAATTTTCATCATCTTTAGAATCAAGTGTCTTCTAAAGATGGGGAAAATTTCAGATTCCTTCTGACCTCATTTTGGAAGATTTTATGATTCTTCATTTGCAGCGTATTTTTTTTCATTTAAGTAAAAATTATCATTGAGGCCTACGTTGACTAATTTTAACACCCACATTTGCTAAGCTGAAAAATTCCAGGATTTATAGCACTTTTCATCGAACTTTCAACGTCTTTAGACTCACACTGCCTTCAGAAAGTGCGCAGTTGAATAAAATCTTTCTTTGAGACTGATGTTTACGAATTTTGAGACTCACATTAACCAAGCAGCAAAAACCAATATTTTGAGCAAGTTTTAGGAAATCGCCAGCGTCTTTTTAAAGTCAAGTGCGTTCTAAAGATAGTGAAAGTTTCGGATTGCTACTTGCTTTAGTTTGGAAGAAGCGATTTTTTAAATAAGAAAACGCAGTTGAATGAAGTTTTTCTATGAGAAGAATGTCGTCAAATTTTCTCACCTAAATTTACGAAGCTGGCAAAAAACTAAATTTTGCACAAATTTTAGGAAACCTTCAGCACTTTTAGAGTCAAGTGCATTCGAAAGATGGTGAAAATTGTTGTATTGCTTTTTACTTTAGTTTGAACAATGCGAATTTTTAAAAAAGAGAGCCCATTTAAATAAAATCTTTCTTTGAGACGGATGTTTACGAATTTTGAAACTCATATTTATCAAGCTGAAAAAAATCACAATTTTGCCCACTTTTTTGGAAATGGTCAGCATCTTTAGAGTCAAGTGTGTTCTAAAGATGGTGAAAATTTCGGAGTGCTACTTGCTGTAGTTTGGAAGGAGCGACTTTTTAAAGAAGAAAGCGCAGTTGAATGTAATACTGTAAAAATCTTCTGTGAGATGGATGTTTTCGAATTTTCTGAATCACATTTACTCAGCTTTGAAAAATCAGAATTTTGCGCAAATATTAGGAAGCCTTCAGCATCTTTAGAGTCAAGTGCCTTCTAAAGATAGTAAACATTTTTGTATTGCTACTTATTTCAGTTTGGATGATGTGAACTTTTAAAGAAGGGAGCGCAGTTGTGTAAAATCTTCCTTTGAGGCGGATGATTATTAATTTTGAAACTCGCTTTTACCAAGTTGGAAAAAGTCGGAATTCCGCGAAATTCTTTGCAAACTGAGCATCTTTGACTCACGCGACTTTTCAAGATAGAAAAAATCTCGGATTCCTACTCGATTTAGTTTAAAAAGATGCGAATTTTTAAAGTAGTGACCGCAGTTGAGTAAAATCATCCCTTGAGAGTGAGACATTTCCTAATTCTGAGACCAAGTTTACCACGCTGGAAAAAATCAGAATTTTACGCAATTTTTATGGAACTTTCAGCATCTTTAGGTCCAAGTGCGCTCTAAAAATAGTGATACTTTTGCATTGCTGCTTACTTTAGTCCGGAAGATGCGACTTTTTAAAGAAGCCAGCGCTGTTGAGTAAAAACTTTCCTTGAAACCAATGTTTACGAATTTTGAGAGCCATATTTACCAAGCTAAAAAAACCAGGATTTAGCGCGATTTTTATAGATGTTTCAGCACCTTTAGAGTCAAGTGTCCTCTAAAGATCTAAACATTTCAATTTAAAAATTGAATATTTTTAAAGAAGGGACCGCGGTTGAGTAAAAAAAAACTTTCATTGAGACTGATTTTCATTAATTTTGAGACCCACCAGTCTCAAATTGGAAAGAATCAGGATCTTTTAATGGTACTTACAGCATCTTTAGTCAAGTGTCCTCTAAATTTGCTGAAAATTGCAAATTTTTAAGGGAGAGAGCGGAGTTGAATACCAATTTTAATTGAGACTGATGTTTACTAATTTTAATACACACTTTTACCGTGTTGAACGAAACCAGGATGCTACAGGATTGTCATGAAAATTACAGCACTTTAGAGTCAAGTACTATTTGAAGATCGTGAAAATGTAGAATTGCAACTTTCTTTAGTTTCGAACTAATATAACAAAAATTGAATTCTGGATAATTTTTATAGAACTTTCAGCGTCTCTAGAGTAAAATGTCCCTAACAATTTTTGCATTCTACTGAGTACTAGAAAGGGATAACGCAAAAAGAAATAAGAACCAACCTGAAAATAGCTCAACATTTAGCAAAGGGCACTTGCTTGCTAGTATAATGCTTTGCAACCTTGCAACCAGAGAAAATATAGTGGTTAGATGTATTTAAAAAAGTATTAAAAACCGTAACTTATCAAGAAAAATATAATAAGGATTATAAACCCAAAGCCTTACTGTATTAGACAAACAGACAAATAAATTCTTACGAGAATTGTTTTCTGCCACTGGGAGGTTGTTTGCTTGGAGTTGGAGAGCGCCAGGGTTTTGAAGGAGCAGGTTTACTTCTTGCCATATTTTCACACAATGAATTCACTCTTCACAATTTGACAAACTTGAATTTCAAATTCTCATTTGACGGACACACGTAAATATTATCAGTCTTTTTGACATATGTCATTAAGTCACGTCATAAGAATGACGTGGTCAATGACTTTTTGTAAGTTCACCCAGTATACAGCAATCAATTTTAATGTAATTACTTTGCTTTATTAAGAAAAGCACCTTCTCTTTTTCTTAGTAAACACTAAAGTTGGAAGTGCTTCGAACTAAATCACTTTTGCTCACATTAACAGTGTTTCCTTGATATATGTTTAATTCCATACATTATGAATGTACGTGAAAGTGCCACTTTGAAATGAATGCCTCGATACAACAGCCAGCAGTAAAATGGGGTGAATATGTAGTTTCCACAAGGATATGATTATAGGAAAGGCCCATTTCCGGCGGCTAAAGTCACGCTTTCCAATGCACATC